ACACGTGGTGGGGACCATAGACTATGGTGTGTCTTTTGGTAGCCTGCACTATGCTCCCGAAAATCTGCCAGAAAAAGGATCTTTTTCACAATCCACTTCAATGCCATGGTGATTGACCATGGCTCCTTAGAAGGATCGTGGAGAAGGATTTGCCCAAAAGGAGAAATCTACCAAGTGGCCTAGTAACTTTCTCAACTTCACTACCGGGATCACGGCTTGTGGTATTTACTACTACTCGTGGATCCCTTCATGAATATGAATTTGGAAAGCTATCTTGTGTCTTAAAGTAGCCCAGATCAAGTCTCAAGGACCACGAGAGAGACCATAACTCGTGGTCTTGACCAAGACACATAGAGCCCCTATGGGTTGACATTGTCTAGTGAGCTTCTCGCTCTAATTTCCTAGACACTGGCTCACCTTCATAAGGGTACCAGGGATCGTGCTCCTAACCATGGCTAGCGATGGTGGCTCGTGACACTTGGGCGTGGTCAATTAATAAAGGGTAGTTAAGTCATATACTTTTTAAGTTCAATTAAGTGAGGTTGTTTTGAGTAATTTAGGGGTAATATATCAGATGTTTTAAGTTAAAATTAACCAAAAAAACTACTCATTATACGAAAACACTCAAATCAACGAAAAAAGTTCTCTTTCTCTCAATATTTCTCTCTCTAAAACTCATAAAAGAAGAAAGGTGGAATTGAAACTAGTGTTAGGAGAATTCAAAGGTTTATCCTCAAATTTCATAGATTTGTTTAGTCATATTATTGTGGTTTTTAATCTACTTGTAGCTTTCGCCCATATAGTCCCTTTGAAAGTTGATTTCAAGCTTTCAATTTCCCCGAAACCTAGGGTTTTAATCTAAGTCATGGATTCTCTTTCAAAACATTTTCATTATTTATTTACGGTTGATTATTGTAGATTATAGTTGAATTTGTTATAAATTGTTGATTTCTTATGAAATTCCACCAAGAAACCATGACTCCCCCATATATCTAAGTTACGAATTTATAATGTGGTTTGAAGGATTACAGAAGTACATCAACTAATTATGTTTATATTGATTGATTTATTGAATCATTATTTTCCCCTAACTAATGTAGTAATTCTATATGTTTGGGTTGACTTTGATATATGGCCTTGAAGGGAAAATTATGAAGTATTGTACATAAAGATGAGAATTGTATATGAGCTTATGTTTCACCTAGAGAGTAAAGATCCTATATATTATTGTGTATTGGTTGTATCGTTGTAAGACCATTCTCCCTCTACTCTTACACATGACTATGTTTGAAATTTCTACGACCATGATAGTATTGTTGTGTTGAATGAAAAGCTATTCTCATGAATACACTATTAATATGATATGAAAGGTTTACTCACATATTAACGGTTTTAATGTTGAAAGGACATTCTCACCTAATAAAATTATGAGCTATCATGACACCATGTTAGTTTGAGTACCTAGTGCATTTTTTAAGGATTATGAACTTAAATAAATACTTGACATGAATTTTAAAGTTTATAACTCTTAGCGTCGAGTGGATATGAATATGAGATGGATGTTTGTACATTAGTTAGTCGAGCTTCCCCACATAGTTGTCTCATGAGATGGTAATCTTTTGCATTAGAAAATACGGTTACCTAGTAACAATCTCCTTATCCCATATCTAAGTTCCCGCATATGTTTTTAGCTAGTTGATCCACCTAAAATTTTGTACATGATTTCTACCTTAAGTAAGTAGGACACCTCTCTTTGGAGTGGGGTAATATGTCAAATTCCATGTAGATCACATGGTCTATATCAATTAAGTCTATATTTCCATATATGAAAAAAACATGACCTACACCAATGACTTTTTAAGAAGTGTACTTAGTGTATCTTTAGGTGGGGGGGGGGGGTATGGGACTTTTTTATCCATTGCACAATTAGGCTTTGGAAAGGGGTTATAGGATTGTTTCCTTATGCTACTAAGATATGTGAATTTCATGTATGATATGAATTTTTGCTAATTGTAACTTCATTCATTAGAATTTAATAATATGAATGTTTCCTTATCTATGAATGTTGTCTAATGATGAGGTCAAGGAAATATATGTAGGATTTTAGTGAGCTTAAAGTGGTACTTGGCATTTGGTTGGGTTATGGGATCTTTCCTTTGCATTTCATTAGTATAGATTTGGGTTTTTTTTAATAATTTAAGTTATAAATGCATCATTTCAACTAAATGTCTTGTTTGAGCATGTTTTAGGGATTTCAATGCATGTTCCGGTAGTTGAGGTATACTTTGCCTTTCGAGTAGAGTTTGGATTGACTATTCTTCCCGCTCGGCGAGTCCTCATGGTTAGAGCACAAGACTTATTCAATTTTATATTTTATCTTACATTTATTTTAGAGAATATATTGTCAAGGGGTATAACTTCTATTGAAATTCTATTGTAGAAGATGGCTCATTTAGATAATGTCTAGACTCTTACTTTTGATATTAATGAGAAGACTTTGATTGTAAAAGTTTTAAATTCTGCATCTTTTTTTATGTTTATTGTTATGCTATGTTTAGGAATAAGCTAAAAAAACTAAATATAATGACTTTTGGGAAGAAACGGAAAAATCTAGAAAATTTTCTAAGTTCGAGAAGTGAGTTTTTGTAATTCTCAAACGGTCATAACTCCTAGCTCAAGATGAGTTAGAGGTATTTCTTGATATGGTTAGAAACCCTTGGAGATATTTTTCCAATGCCGTTGATTTTGTACATTTTCGATATCATTTGAGGGAGATATGCTGTCGGAAGTTTGGACTTCAGATTGAGGAATGTACCAATCATGATTTAAGGAAGGGCAAACTAGAACTTCAACCAATTTATTTCTTATTTTGCTTAAGGGATTTATTTGGGGTAAAAATAGCTTTTTTCAAATTAGAAAGTTTAACTTACGGTTAGGGCTTGGAGAATAATAAGGAGAACAAAGAATGGGAGAAAAAACAAGGATTGACCAAGAATGCCAAGAATTTGCGTGTAGAATCCATTGGGGTGATCCCTACCAAGGTACGTGAGAGCTTTTGTTTTGGGTTGACTCATTTACCCACCAAACTTGTTTCAATGCAATGGTTTCAGAATTTTTTACATGATTAGAAATGAATTCTTGATAAATTTTGTACCATCCCTATTGGTTGAGTTTTTTCGATGCCCATTCATGTTGATTCATAATTTCCATGTTTTTTTTCAAGTTGCATCGATTATGTATTGAAGATATTCATGGTCCTAAGGGTTTGGGAATAGAAGTATGGAGGATTAGGTGATTTAGGATCAGAAAATAAGAGAAGAAAGACGTTTTAATGCATATGGGTATCACCAAACGTAGCGTGCCCCATCTGCGCCAGAAGGCATGGGGCAGCGCACCTACAGTGTGCCACAAGGGTGCCTCAGACCGACAAATCTTGCGCGGTGTGCCCCGAACATTCCCAAATCGTGTTTTTCACCCATTTTTCGTAGATTATCCTTTTTACATCCTTCTAAGGTATTTAATACCTTCTAGTAATTCTAGTTCAAATAATTTCTAAACACCTAGAAATAACCAAAGAACATGAACCATAACCTTGAATCCATAATCTAGTTATAGGAGAGTTAAAATCAAAGTTAACGAACTTAAGAGTGAAGTCTAAAGTTAAAAAACTAATCCAAAGAGATGATTTTAGTGGTTTTTAAAAGTCTTTATTGAACTTTTTAACATCGTTTTAAGTCCAATGTTTCAATGAAAGTAAAGAGTAAAAAGGTTGAAGTCTTTCCTTCAAGAAATATAAGGGAACTATATATTCCCTAAGAGTTGATTTAAGACTCGAGATTCAAATTAATCAAAGAGTAAATAGATGAGTTCATTTCGAAAAAGTTATAGGGAACTAAGTATTCCTTAAAAGCTTATGAATGTTTTAAAATTTTAAGTTAAATGGAAACTAAGATTCCCAAAAGTGTTTTCTGAACAAGAAATGGGAACATTTATTCCATGAGAACTTTTTAAAGCTAAGTGTTGAGAAATTATTTCAACCCAAAGAAAGAAAGTTATTTTTAGAAGCATGAACTAAAGTACATTTTGGGAATAGTATTGAGCACTGATATGGGGATGAGAGTTCATATTAACTCTAGTGTCCATGAAATCATGTATTTATCATGGGTATTAACGGATCATACTTTCTAGATAATCAAGTCAGTTAAGCTAGTGGGTCCACTAATTTAAGAAGTTCTATGCGACGGCAAAGTATAGGACAATTGTTGCAGCGTGGGCAATACGTTGTATAACCACTTAGGCTCATAGTGGTGGTTGTCGGTTAGAGAATCTCCCATATAAACTATATTACTTTATAAATAAGTAAAATTGAGTTTGTTGTTTCATTTCTTTGACGAACTATGTTTTTACATTGATTTATAAGCTTTTTATATTGCAGGTGTCTTATTGTTTTATATTTAATCATGTTATTCATGAGTTGAGCAGTGCCAATGTAAGTGTTTTTTCTTACTCTTTTCAAGCTTAAGTTGTGTTAGCTTTCTTACTTGCATACTCATACATTCAATATACTGAGGCTTATTGGAATGCATTGTATCATTATGAAAATGTATGTGACCAGAATCAGCATCATCTAGTGCCTCGTTGATCCAGCTAAGCACTAAAAGTAAGTGGTGAGCCTCCTTTGCATTCTTGAGGACACATTTACATGATTTTCAGTTTTCTTTGAAGGATGTTGTGAGTTCCGTCCCAACATCCATCTTAGTATTATAGAGGTTTCATAGACAGTCAGAAATTTTAGTTGTAAGTCTTTTTTTTCATAGCATATATTCTATTGTGAGACTTAAGTGCCATTTTGGCAAATACATTTTATTTTAGGTTATCTTTATTAGAAGGTGAATATTCGTAATCAAAGAATTTTGACTTTTGAACAAGGGGGAGATGGTGTATTGAAGTGTCAAGGTAGATTGGTATTAACTAGGGTGGGTGGACTCCAAGAAATGATTATGGAGGAAGCTCATAGATCCATATATTCAATTCACCTGAGTTCCACAAAGAAGTACCAGAATTTGAGAGAAGTATATTGGTGGGAAGGTATGAAGAAGAACATTGTTTAGTTCGTTGCCAAGTGCCCGAATTGGCAAAAAGTGGTATTAGAACACTAGAGGCCTGGAGGGTTGGCTCAAAATATAGAACTTCCGGAATGGAAGATAGAGATGCTTAAAATGAAGAGTTAATACCTCAGATGGTCACTCAACTATGCACTCTTCTCTCAGAAAGTCAATCAAGTTTCAATTTTTCACTCAAAAGTCACTCAACTATTTCCTTCTTTCTCAGAAAGTCACTCAACTTTGAATTTTAACTCAAAAGTCACTCAATATCCACTCTTTCCTCAAATAGTCACTCAATCTATTAATTATTTTTAATTAAAAATTGTTGATAATAATTATTTATATAAAAAACCAAAATTTTTTAAAAATATATTAAACCATTTAGTGATTCATCCACCTAACACGACCCATTAAAAAATATGATATGACCCATTTTATTTTGTCTTTAATACTATATTAATCCCTCTCTTCAAACCTTGAATTAGGATTAAAAACAAAATAAAATGGGTCATATCATATTTTTTAATGGGCCGGGTTAGGTTGGTGGATCACTAAATGGTTTAAATGGTATTTTTATTTTTTTATAATTTTGATTTGTTATATAAATAATTTATATCAATAAATTTTAACTAAAAAACAATTTAATAGATTGAGTGACTATTTGAGGAAAGAGTGAATAATTGATTGACTTTTGAGTGAAAATTGAAAGTTGAGTGACTTTCTGAGAGAATAGTGCATAGTTGAGTGACCATCTGTGGTATTAACTCTTAAAATGAACTTCATCAGAGGTTTGCTAAGGTCTCGCAGACAGCGTGATTCAATCTGGTGTGATTTTCAACGGAATTACAAAATCATCCCATCTCTTTCTATAAAGGCCATTCATTCGGCATATGATTATGCAAAGTTATATATCTAGGAGGCGGTGAGACATCATGGAGTCTAGTTTTGACCATTTAACATAGAGGTGCACAATTTAAGTTCTTGAACTCTTTCGAGAAAGGTTTTGGTTTAAAGTATAATTAAGCACATATTTTCATCCTCAGATAGATGGGAAAGTAGAGCACCCTATCCATACCTCAAAAGATATGTTGAGGTCTTGTGTGATTGATTTCAAGAGGAATTTGGACAAATACCTACCTCTCATTGAATTCTCTTACAACAACTACTACTATTCATGCATCCAAATGTCTCCATATAAAGCTCTTTACGGGAGAAGATATAGATATCCTATTGGGTGGTTCTAAGTTAGTGAAACAGGCTTGATAAGGCTAGATCTAGTTCATGGAGAAGGTAAAGGTGATTCAAGAGAGATTTAAAACGGCACAGAGTCGTCAAAACCCTACACATATGTTAGGGGAAAGCCGTTGCAGTTTGAAGTGAATGATTTGGTATTCATAGAAGTTTCACCCATGAAGGGTGTTATGATGTTAGGTAAGAAGGGGAAACTTAGTCTCCCACATTTTGATCCTTATAGAATATCCAAGAGAATTGACAATGTAGCTTATGATTTGGAACTAGCACAAGAGTTAGCAATTGTTCATCCGATATTTCATACATCCATGTTTAAGAAGTGCATGGGTGATCCTTCATTGATTGTACCAACTGAAAATGTTGGAATTAAGGATAGCATATCCTATGAAGAGTTTTCGGTTCAGATTTTAGATCGCCAAGTTTGCATGTCAAAAACAAAGGAGGTTGCGCCAGTCAAGGTCCTTTGGAGGAACCAATTTGTTGAAGAAGAGACTTGCGAAACTGAAGAGGGTATAAACAAGAGATATCCACATCTCTCTGAATCCAAAAAGAATGCAGATTAAAGTACAAATTTTCTTCTTAATAATAAACTATGAGTAAGCATGTGGTTACTTGCTTTTGATTATTTAGAGTAAAACTTGAGGTTATTATTCTTAGATTAACGAAAGAAATATCATTCGAGGACAAATGTTCCAAAGGGGGAGACATTGTAATATTTATAACTCTAAGTATCTAAGAATAAGCTCATAAACTAAAATAATTCCTTTTGGAAAGAAAGGGAAAATCTGGAAAACATTCTAAGTTAAGAAAGTGAGTTTTGGTCATTTTAAAACGACCATAGCTCCTAGATCAAGATGAGTTAGAGGTATTTCTTCATAAAGTTCGAAATCCCTTGGAGAGTTGTTTCTAATACTGCTGAGTTTTTGCATTTCTCGATATTGTATAAGGAGATATGACAATTTGAAGTTGGGTTGTTGGATTGAGGAAGGTCACAATCCGGATTTAAGGAAGGCAAAGATTATGTTCACCAATTTATTTCTTATTTCATTTTAGGGATTTATTTTGGCTAAAAAATAGCTGTTGTCAGATTATAAAGTTTAACTTTATGTTTAGAGCTAGGAGTAGGGAGAAGAGAAGAAGAAAAGGGAGAAAAGTCAAGGATTGATTAAGAACGTCAAGGATTTGGGAGTGGAATTCGTCGGGAGTGATCGCTATGAATTTATGTGAGATCTTTCATGTTGGGTTAATTTAGCCGCACCCAAAACTTGTTTCAATTCAATGGTTTTGTAACTTTTTACATGATTAGAAGTGAATTCTTGTTGAATCTTGTCGAATCCTTATTGGTTGAGTTGTTTGAATACCCATTGATTATGATTCGTAAATTCCAAGTTGTTTTTCAAGTTAGATCTATTGGATACTGAATCTATTGATGATCCTAAGGGTTTGGGAATAAAACTATGGAGGTTTAGGCGTTTTAGGATGATAAAGCGAGAGAACAAAGATATTCAGGCGCATCTAGGTAGCACCAGGCGCGGTGTGCCTCACCTAAGCCAGAATGCATGGGGCGATGCACCTACTGTGTGCTTGTAAGATGCCCCAGACAAACTGGTCTGGCGCAGCTTGCTCAAATGCACCCAAATTGGTGTTTTTTGCTCTGTTGTCGTAATTTCACCTTTTTAAGTCTGTCTAAGGTATATTAACACCTTCCAATGATTCTAATTACTTAAAATGATTTTTAAACACCTATAAATCACCAAAGAGAAGGAATCATAACCTTTAATCCATAATCCAGTTCAAGAAGAGTTAAGATCAAAGTAAGAATAGTTAAGAGTCAAGTCTAAAGTTAACAAGCTAATCCAAAACAATGTTTTTAAAGGTTTTCAACAGTCTTTACTAAACGTTTCAACTTTGTTTTAAGGCTCATGTTTTAAATTAAAGTAAAGAGTAAAAAGGTTGAAGTCTTTCCTTCAAAAAATATAAGGGAACTAACTATTCAATAAGAGTTGATTTAAGACTCAAGTTTCAAGTTAAGCAAAGAGTAAATATTTATGTTCATTTATGAAAACTTATAATAAAAATAAGTATACCCTAAAGGTTTATAAGTGTTTTCACATTTCTATTTAAAGGAAACTAAGATTTCCAAAAAGGGTTTTGATCAAGAAAAAGGAACATTGGTTAAAAAAAAGCTTTTTAAAACGACCTATTGAGAAATTATCTCAACCCAAAGAAAGGAAGTTGTTTTTAAAAGCATGAGCTAAAGTACATTTTGGGAGTAGTATTGAGCATCGATGTAGGGATAACGTTTCATATTAACTCAAGTCTTCATAAAAACAATGTAGCAATCATGGGCATTAAAGAGTCATACAATCTGGATGATCATGTAAGTTAAGCTAGTAGATCAACTTAGTTAAGGAGATTTATGTGATGGCAAAGTATATGAATGTTTTGGAAGCATGGGAAACACATTGTATCACACTTAGACTCATAATGGTGGTTTCCGTTTAGAGAATCTCCCACATAAACTATATTACTTCATATATAAGTAAATTTGAGTTTGTTATTACATTTTATTTAATGAACTAAGTGTTTACACTGTTTTACAAGCTTTTATATATTACATGTGTCTTATTACTTTATATTTGATAAAGTTATTCATGAGTTAGCATTGAAACTCCCATACTCATACGGTCAATGTAATGATGTTAGTTTTCCTACATCGTATCATGATGCAAAAGCAGGTACTCAGGATAAGCATCATCCAGCACATCGTTGATCCAACTGAGCACTTGAAGTTTGTCATAACCTCCATCTTAGTATTATAGAGGTTTCATAGACAAATAGACTGTCAGACATTTTAGTTTTGGGTCTCTCTTTATCTGTATTATAGATACTCTATTGTGAGTCCTAAGTGCCATTTTGGCCAAGATATTTTACTTTAGGTTATCCTTATGAGAATGTTTCTTTCTTTAGATTGAGTTAAGTATTAGGTTGAGTTAAGTAGGTCAGGCCAAGGGTCCGCAAAAGGTTGGCAACAGTGATTGAGTAACTGACATGTCAGAGTGTACACTTGGGGCGTGACAGTATGAGACCCCTTCAAGGTCGAATATGTCATGTACATCTAGGGGTATCCCTAGGCCGTGACATACAATGATGGTGAAGTGTTAATGTAATGCAATGAAAGCTAATGAGAAAGTCAAGGACATTATCGGGCATAAAGAAGAAAACAAGCTGAAGAAGTTTAAGGTAGGCAATCCTTATTATTGCCAATACCACTCGGCGAACTATTGAGTTACTGTTTAGCTCGCCCAATCTTCTAGTGTGCCAGCCCTAAGGATGAACCTACTTGGTGATAGAAATGGGCAGTTGGAAGATCGTTGACCTACTAAGTGGCATCAACCTTAACCGCCTAATGTCAAAGAACCCCTAAGGAGTGAGAGCCTATGAAAACTGGTGATCGGCAGGATCCCCGACCTTGTTAGAAAGATCAACTTCCTTCGCCTAATGAACTTGAAGGACAAAAATTGGGAATATATAATTTGAGTTTTTAAAAGAAAAAGAGTTTGGATTCCGAAAGTGTGTACAATATTAGTTTTCTCTTAGTTTTTGAGATTCCTTTGTTAACTTTTAAGCTTCTGTGACTTGGTTGAGGGAAAAAAATTGGGTTTATTATTTAATTGTATTTGAAGCATTGGAGAACTCTAAAACGATTACTCATCTCATGGCTTATATAGTTGGTAATTGTTTCTCTTTATGATGTGTAGCTAAAACATTAATTATTAGGGTGTAATCATGAAATTATTGGCTTAATTATCTCATGGGTATTGTTGTTTACTAATTTAAATGCTTAATGAAAGTTTCTTTAATTGATGGTTGCTTATTAATCTATGAATTGAAGTTGCAAATGCAATTCTATCTTAGAGTTCTTTGCTTTCTTGAGAAAAAGGTTTTAGAACCACTGTTTTCAATTAATGATTGTAGTTATTGGGTTAATGTGGGTTCAACTTGATAGAGTAAATCCTAAACTCAATTCTACCTATTTAGCTCGACAATAGATAAATTAAGGTTTTGGACTTTATATTGTTAAGCTTGTCGAGGTTGGAGAAAACTCGATTGAATCGTAATTGTTGTTCGAGAGAAAGATATTATTTCATATATAGTCTAGACTACCTACTGAGATTCATCAATTTTTGTAATTTTCAATTACCCATACAGAGAATTTAGTCTTTAATCGATCACATCCTAGGAATACATCTTTAACTTGTAGATTTCCCTTGTTTTCGTATTTTATTAGCTGCTAATTAATAAACAACCCCCCCCCCCAAATCTCACATTTTTTGACACTCACTCAGTTATCCGATTTAATTCGATAGTTTTTGTTCTTCTAACCAACTAGATCATATTGGTAACTTCATACTTGAACTCAAACTTATACTGCTCCCTGCGGGTTCACAATCATCTCCACTTGGAATTGGATGAGGTGTAATTGAGCATTTATCAGGAGGATCTAGAAAAGATTAATAGTTTCTACCATTCTTTACAACATTCTATTTTCTGTAATTTGATGAGTAGGATTCATGAGGATAAATTTTAAGTCTTATTTGATTTAATTTTATCAGTAGGAATCAGAAGGAATATTTTTGAAGTAAAGTTCTTATGATATTTTTTATGCATTTAGTTTAGTGGCCTATGGGAGTAAATTTGTTAGTTAATTTAATGTAACTTAATGAGAAGGAATTAAGAGGGTAGATTTTAAATTTTATTTTTTGTGATACTTCCTAAGTTATTCAATTTGATGAGTAGGATTAAGGACCTAAAAGGGTAAATTTTGAATTATAGCTCTTGTGATATTATCTTAAGCATTTAATTTGGTAAGTAGGATTCAAAAAAGTAATTTAGACTTTCATATAATTTAATTTGATGAGTAGGAGCCACAAGTTTGAATTTAAATTTTATTTAATTATATCTGATTAGTATGAACGAGGTTAATTTAAAATATTAATTATTGTGATATTTTCTTAATTGTTTTATATTGTAAGTATTTTACATCTTGACTATTTTTAGAAATTACATTTTTCTTATGTATTGATTCTTAATAAAAAAAAATCAATATAGTATATAAAAAATTAAATGATTTAATATTTAATAAGCTTAAAATTTGTTAAATCTTCACATGCAAAATATCACAAACGAGTATTTCTTTTAAGTAAATATTGAAGGCGCTTACAAAAATATTATATGAATTAAAATCACAATTTGTTGATATTTCAGGAGCTAAATCAAATATGCCATGTCACAACATAAGTTAAAATGAGTTAAAAATATATTTAACTCTTATAAATAATTATTTTACTATCAATTCAAGAAGTTTGACAAAAACATGAAGGTCCAAATTTAAAAGTCAAATCACTTCTACAGAGGATCTACAATGGAAATTCCTCCATTGGTTCCATTCGTTCAAACATAATTCCTCCATTGAATTATGAACCAATAATGAAAATCATAATTCTTGGTCATAGAGTTTCAAGAAATTAATTCAAAAAATCTCAAGACTTTAAATCAAGTT